CAGGCAGAGGCCTCCTCTCAAATTTCACATAAGGATCTGACCAGAGGGCAGGGCAGGGCAGTGCTACAGCAGGACACAGACTGCCCCAAACGATGGGAGAGACAGCATTTCACTCTCTGGCTCCCCCCTCATCTCTCATATGCTCAAGCACCCAGAGCACTTGTCAACGGGTGGAGACCTTCTCTACAGGCCCATTTCCCTTCATGGGCATCTCAACGATCTCCAACAGTCAAAACAAGAGTGCCACCGCACCCAGCCAGGGATGGTCACCCGGGGCCCAGGCACCGCGATACCTCGCGATGCCTCCGGCAGGAGCTGTGCCCCAGCCCCAGAGAGCGCCCGCCACCCCGAAGGGAGGGTGCGGCTCCACCGCAGGCTCTCTCCAGCAGCAGAGCCAGTTTAAGAGGTTCCTACCCCACCCTGTCTCCCCATCTCAGACTGCCACCTCTCCAGTCTCATCAGCTTTGCTGGTGGGGCAGCTAGCTCACTAGCCCAGCACAGACAACAATTTGGATTAGATGCCCCCCTGCCGACTTTCATCTAGGGCACGATCCACAATCCCCTGAAGCAGCATTCAGCTCAGGGGCATCAGCTCCTGCGACATGTACAGGGGGAGGGAGAGAACCTCTTAAACCAGCTCTGCCACACCGGCAATCCTAACTTGGAACCACACCCTGAGATATAGACTGCTGACTTGACAGCAGCAGAGAGACCACAATGGGCAGGATTTGTCCTTAGGGTAATGGCACCCTCCTGCTATGCTCCTCCAAGCCATTCTGAGGTGATCCAGCACTGCTGCCCTTCACTCCTCACCCCGAGTGGTGTCACTGAAAGCATACGGCACCAATTCAGTGATGTGCTAATCCCAACTCGTAATTCATGGAGTCTTGCTAGTCTTAGTTCACAGTAAAGACCTGGCAAAATTAGCCCTGGAGCAGACAGAAGGCAAGATTTCCTCACACTTCCAGAACCCAGGAACACTCAACGACTCCCCTGCAGAAGGGCAGGCAGACACCAGCCCTGCGTCCCGCTGAAGAACCCTTCGGCAGCTCTGCAGATTCACACAGATCTGGACGGGTAAAGCGGCTTTGCGTGTGGTGAAGACTGGAGTAAGAGAGAAACCCCTCGTCAGCGGAACACCCCGCACGCACTCAGTGCTGCAGCAGCGAGGCAGGCACACCTCACCTCGAGCACGACAAGTGCATCTTTAGAAAGCGTTGGGTCAAACGGTCCCTCCGGCAGCAGTTCCCAGAGATGTACTGGCCAGTTTGCTGAACAGCTCCCGAGCACCACCAGGAGATTCCTTCCCTGCTGCCCCTCCTCGTGCTGGATGACCTAGCACAGACCTGACCTTACCAAAAAATTAAGTTACATACATGCAACAGTTTCTCCTCAGTCTCAGATCACCTCATGGAGATACTGGCCAGTGCCGAGGTGGTGCAAGGCAGACAACGTACTCTGTGAGGAACCTGTCTGGACAGCCTAAACCAGGCAGAGTACCTGAGTACCATCAACTGAATTTCTTTTTCTCCAGAGCTGTTAGTCCATAGCCAGAGCTGCTCATGTTGCCGCCCCTGCCTTTAAGAAGTCCAGGCTCCAGCTCCCCAGTGTGCCCTTGGCCTCCTCATGGGGAGCTGAACAGCTTGGTGCGACGTGGGCTGGGCGCGACCACCCAGTGACACTCGGCAGAAGACTTCCAAGCCTCAGAGAGGGACCATCGCATTGTTAGTGCCGGAGCTGGACTGTCGCTCAGACCGCAGGATACAACAGAGCATTTCAGCTCCTCGATTAAGGGCCTGCAAAGCATGCACCTACAGCTTATAAAACCAGCAAGCACCTCAAACCAGTCTCCAAAGTACTGCCTCATTATAGAGCTGAGGAGCAGAAACATATATGCAGACTTAGTCGAAAACTACTCCGGAGTGCCTGACAAGTCCCATCCTCCACTACTCACGGTGCAGGGAGGCCCAGCTGAATCTCTGGGTGAGAGACACGGATACCCCTTAACTCGCTGCTATGCGCACTCTCCCTGCTCACGCAGCATCGTCCACAGGCTGCCTCTCCCTACCTGTGTCAGCCTCCCAGAGCTCACCGGGACACAGCTTCTTCCACAGTTTGTTTCAGATGGGTGCAAGACATCCTCCCAATGATACCCCTGCATCCAGACCAACTCGCCCAGGCCTTTATAATCTTGGGAGTCGTGGATGCAGAGCCTGAACTAGGAATCGAGCACAGTTAGAGCAGTGCGACCCACCTAATGTAAGTGTCATTATACTACACAGGGATGTGTGAACATCTCTCCCACAAGAGAATTCTTGTAGGAGCGCGACTACATCTGAAGCAGAGGTGAATTTCTCCTCAACCCCCAGGTCTTTCACCAATACTGACAAATCCGTTCAGAAAACATACATAGATCGGATATTTGTTGAACCAGAGGAAGGTAACAGTATTACTCACTAAACAAAATAACACAAAACGCTCAAGACTTCCTCCACGTCCTGATGGAAGCCAGTCTGGTTTTAAGGCCAGGGTGACACACCAAAGATGCTGTTGGTGTAACTGCCCTGGCACACCAGTTTGCAAGCTTCTCTTGCTATCTTGGGCCACTGGTACCGTCAAACCATGCTACTTGCCCATGCAATTAATTCAGCTCCTTCACCACCATAAAGTACTCTGGCCAAGGTTGTTTGGCTGGTAGGACTACTATCACACTTGGATTTCTTTTTTTTTTTTTTAAAATATATTTATTCTTTTGCTATCACACCCACATTGATCCCCAGTCACAGACAAGAAACACAGCTTACAGCAGCAGAAACATACTGTACTACCAATTACCTGTTTCCCTACCTAGAACTTTTAATGTAGGCATATTTAAAACCAAGTCCCAAGACCAAGGCATACGTAGGAATAGGATATTCAAATAAGTCATATTCAGTACTTTTGTCTTCCTGGATAATTCACCCGTGATACCTTGTTCTGCAAGGGCCAGAAACACCAGCTAAGAGAACAGCCCCCCACATTTCAAAGCATGCATCTCGAAAAAAAATAATCTTCTAAAGGTCCTTCAACAAGGGAGCGTCACTGACACAGCAAGAGAGCGTAACTAGCTGGAAGTTCCCAGGAAAAGCGAAGCAGGAGGCATGAACTAAGCCTCACCTACCACACAGGGGTCATGCCTCCTCCTCTCGGCTGCAGGCCAACAGGCACACCACGTACGAGGCCACAGAAGCCTAGGCGAGCCTCGTCCTCCGCTTGCTGCCCATGGGCCTTCCCAAACCCCTCAAGCACGCAGCTCATCAGTGTGCAGCCACTTATCCAGCTTAGCACGTTCTGCTGGGAGTCCAGGCCACCTATGTTAGGACAGCAACTCTTCCTGGCGATTTTTATTTGTGAGATTATAAGCATTTTTAAACTGGTAAATTCCTGGCCGCTAATCCCCTTCATCTGCCTTGTCTTTGTCCAGCCATTTTGGGTTACTTCAGCTGGTCACAGTGTAGCTAAGATCGTAGTTTAACCAAAACCTGAAGCTGGCATTGCCTCCAAGAGAAGCTGTCCTGCCACCCCGACTGCTGGCTATAGAAACGGTCACTTCCCAGGCAAACCAGCACCCTGAGCCGTGCGCTGCACAGTTGTGGGAACAAGTGCGTCAGGACGAGGGAGGAGGTGGGACTGCTGCTTTTGGCAGCATCGCCAAATTAAAGCATCCATCAAAGCGCTTGGGAAAAACACGCCACCTTGAAGGGCCCACAGATGTATTACAATTTGGGGGTTTTTTGGTTTAGTTTTTTTTTTTTTTCTTTTTAAGCACCTTCTCAAAAAAGAGAAAAGATGAAAAACCACTTCAAATCGGAGTCACTTCAGGTTCCCGAAGTGGGCTAAGGCGGCTGACTGTAAAAGTCTAGATGCATGTCACCAAATCATCTAGTATGAGAATCCTCTCCGCAAAAAGTAAACATGCAATAGACACCGAGCAGCACCAGAAAAGGAGCACACCTTCAGCAAACCAGCTCCCCAGCACCCTTTCTATGGCCAGGCACCCAGCAGCAACAAGAGAGCAACCAGAACGGCTCATTCTCGAGGGCAAAGCTTAATGCCGAATACCACGCTGCCTCACACCAAATGATTTCAGAGTATTAAAGGATAAGGATTTACCTTTACAGACAGCACCTTGAAGGTGAGGGTACACTTACCGCTGTGACTCAGAGAAAACTCCATCACAGCTTCAGCTATCACAGAGCTGACACTCGCCCTTCCCAGGGGGTTTACAACTGCTTCGAAACAACGTGAAACCGACCTGCGGGAGACACAGCAGCTTCCCTCCTTCCCCAGGATCTCCAGGAATATCATCTCAGACTCTCAGAGCAGCTGTTCCCAAACTGCTCACAGTTACGGCCCAAATCCCAGCCCGGCGGCTTCACGCAGTCCCCTGAACAGCAGCACAAACATCAGACGAGCCAGAGCTCCTGACAGGGCCTATCTAGGACCCGACATTTGGAACAGCTCCCTCCGAAAGAAAACACGTACACATGTGCACAGGCACAAGTAAATTTGAGCTTGAAGCCGAAGCTGGTTTTCTCAGATTTCGCAGCACACTCAAATCAAGTCCAGGCCAACATAATGGTAACACACAGTACTTCAGCTTCTCTGCTCGTTACAATCATGTGGAGAAAACCTGCTGTGCCAGAAACTACACCAACACTCATTTCATATTTCTACCCAGCAGCTTCGCAAAGCATCTTATCTAGACTCAGTCCCCAACCCTCCCCTCTCCCAGAGTTCAGCAGCCAAGTGCCCTTCATTAAGGCAAACTCAGTGACACAAACAGGACCCACAAAGCCATCTAACCCACCACCAGCTGAGCTAATACCTCTGGGCAGGCTGCAGCGATCCACCACAGCTCTTTTTTGGGTTATCTAAACCTGTTGCCAGTAAAAGCCTTTCCCTTCTTCAGTTGCAACAGAACCAAGAACAGAATTTGATTGTTAAGGGCCAATACTGACCAGTCTTTGGCTGTAACGGATCCTTTCTTCCTCAGGCTCCATCTCCGACTCTTCTGAAGAGAGTGAGAAGGACACTCCAGGACTGCTGTCTTCTTCCTCTTCCTCCTTTGAAGTCAGAGGGAAACAGTGAAGCAGGGCACACAGACACGAGACGCCTACATCCCTCATTTCTTTGCTCATTTTGAGGCCGATTCCATATCACTGTGCAGGGCTAAGTGAACACAGTGGATGAGCCCACCTCAACTTTTAACGCTCCCATTCTAACTTTAGGCATGACCTAGGGTAAATGACTTTACCAGCTGTTCTGTAACACCACATGAGCTGCAGGTCTCAGATCAGGAAAAGACCTCCACTCCACACCACCACCAGCACAAGCGGCAGCTCAGTTGGCCCACACTGGGATACGAAACAGGCAAGCTGCTGTCAAACGCTCGACGGCAGTCAGGGAGCAGTCTGGTTTCCCCAGAGTGCAAGATTATGCGTTAGAGAACCAACTCCTCCAAACACCACGATCGCCGTCCTCTGGATATCCTGTACTGTGGCACTCGGGAGAAGCTACACAGGTACAGAACATCTCCCGTGAACAGGGAAGGCGTACGGGATCTCTCCTACGCACAGCGCTTGAGCACAGCTGCAGGTAGGGGACTAACTCCTGTCTCGAGAAGACCTACATGCTCAGATCTCAAAATCTGCCACCTTGTGACACCACACAATAACATGGGAAAACCTCCCAAGGCGTCAGATGGCACCTAAACTTTTTTTTTTTTTAAAGGAAAAAAATTAAACCAAAGCCTAGGTTAACTGCAGTCTTTA